CAGCCTGTTGCTGCACTGATGAGAGACCCTGAGCCAGAGCTGCCCATCTAAGCTGCTGTCCGGTTCCTGACCCACTGAACCACAAGAGATAATAGCTCTAGGTCTTGGGGGATGGTGGTGGCATTTGTTATACAACAATAGAAAAGTAACCAAAAGTCACCACCAAAGACATCAGAGGGAAAGTTGAGGACACTGAGGTCTTTGAGGACATTGTGGTACCAGTGAGCTAATCAACCTTGAAGGTGCCTACTTCTCCACTTCTCATTCATGTCCTTGTTTAGCTGCTGATCGGTCTGCTGTTACTTGCAGCCAAAAGCATCCTTACTGATCTATCCTCTAAAAGAAGACTCCCTAGGGATTTTTCTTTCTTTTGTTTTTTGCAGCACTGGGGTTTGAAATATACTGAAAGGTATATTGAGGGCCTATTCCTTTTTTATGATTTTTTTTTTTTTGAGATAGGTCTTGTGAACTATTTGCCCAAGCTGGCTTCGAACTGCTATCCTCCAGCACCTGGCAAAATTCTGTCCTGGCTATGGAACTACAAGATGGCTTTTATTTATTTATTTATTTATTTATTTAGGTGGTACTGGGGTTTCAACTCAGAGCCTCAGGCTTGCTAGGCAGGTTCTCTACCACTTGAGCCACAGCCCTAGGGATTTCTGAGGGGTGAATCTCCAGTGATTTTCTGTATCCTTTTATTCTGTGAAAGGGCTCTGGAATCTCAAATGGGCTGGGGATGTGATTCAGTGGTAGAGCCCTTGCCAAGTATGTGGAAGGTCCTGGGTTCTGTCCCCAGCACTTAAAAACAAAAACAAAAAAACTCAAGTGAATGTCTCTATCAGTCAGAGTTCATGGGGGCTCCCAGATGAGTTATGACTACCCAACTCACAAGTTTTCATTTTATTGTTTTTACCTAAATGGAATCATGCCAGATATGCATCTCATATTTTTGTTTTTTAACACTTCATGTCCTAAACACCTTTGAAATCAACATAGTCTGACATCATGAAGAGGACTGTTATATGCTCTATCATGGAGGTACCATTATTTATTTAACCAGACCTTGAAATTGGGAATCTAGATTGTTGTTACCTTTGATATTACAATTACCACATTTAAAAAAAATTATGGTAAAATATACAATTTAACTTTTTTCTGTGCAGTACTGGGGACCAAACTGAGGTCCTAAACTAGGACCTTGCATACCAGGCAAGTGCTCTACCACTGACCTCAGCCCCCAATTTAACCTTTATTATTATTATTATTTTTGATATGGGGAGGTCTTCCCATGTTGCTCAGGCTGTTCTCAAACTCCTGGGCTCAAGTGATCCTTCTCCCTCAGCCTCCCAAGTGACTGGGATGGCAGGTGCGCCCACCACGGCCAGCTAATCAATTCAACAGTTTGAAGTGCCCAGTTTGGTGACATTCACATTGAACAGCATCACACTCTGCAGCTCTAGAGAGTTCTCATTTCTAAAGCAAACTCTGAATCAATTAAACATCAACGCCCCGGCCCCCAGTCCCTGGTAACCTTTGCTCAACTTTTTATGGCTATGACTGCCGTTCTAGATGTTTCCTAGTGGGAACAAAACGATTCCTGCTTGTTACTGGCTTATCTTACTTAGCATGTCTTTAAGGTTCATCTGTGCTGTTGCTTCTATCTGTAATTGTGAGCAATCAATTGAGATACCTCACTGTGTTCACATCAACTGAATTTCCTTCCTTCCTTTTTTTTTGACATCAGGTCTGACTATGTAGCCTAGGCTGGCCTCAAACTTGCTAGGCAGCCCAAGCTGGACTTGAATTCTTGATCCTGTCTCAGCCTCCTGAGGGCTGAGATTATAAACCTGGCCTTGAACTCTTAAGATTTGGCCTCCTGCATAGGTGGGATTACAGGTGTGACCCACTATGCCAGTCTCCTTCCTTTTTAAGGCTAAATATTATTCTATTGTATGTACATACTGCATTATGTTTGCTCTTTCATCTGTTGGGTGGTTAGGTTCAGTTGGGGGTTATTTTCAACCTTTTGGCTATTGTGACTATGCTGCTATGAATATGGGTTTACAAAGGGAATATTCTTTTTTTTTTTTTGCGGTACTGGGGCTTAAACTCTGGGCCTACAACTTGAACCACTCCACCAGCTCTTTTTTTGTGAAGGGTGTTTTTGAGATAGGGTCTCTCAAACTATTAGCCCAGGCTGGCTTTGAATTGCAATCCTCCTGATTTCTGAGTAGCCTCCTGAGTAGCTAGGATTACAGGCATGAGCCACTGGCACTGGCTGCATGTTCACTCTTAAGGGAAAGTGATTTTTGAACACATTATGCCTCAATTTGCAAAATCCATAGTGCCATGAGCTCTGCATTGCCGTGACTGGGAAGGTCTGTCCTGTGCATGGACTTGCAGCTAGCACAATAAAGAGCTTCCCTTTACCTTCTCCTCAACGTTCGGGGCTCTAGATCCCACTCAAAAGTGCTGTTTCCTGCAGTGTCCATGTGGACATTCTTTTGTTCTTTGAAAAGGAAGACTTCTTGGTTTTAGCTCCCACATGGAGCTGGGAAGGTGGCAGTAGCTACCTTTGATCTTCTTGCTGACTCCTCATGGGAGCCTGAGGGGACTTCCTTGGATCATCCAATCCTTTCATCAGGCATTCAAATAAAGAAACTGAGGCCTTGGCAGGACTGAAGTGTCCTGCTGGCACCTCAGAGCTTTGGGACCCAGGTTTCACTTCATATACCATCCCTGTTAGCCTTATGCTGGGGATACTCTTCAACTTGATTCCCAAGATGCCTCTAGGTGAAGCCCGCCCCCCATCTAGGACCACTCCAGGGCCAAATTCCAGGGCCCCAGGGTTGGGGGACCTGTGCCTGGGGCTTGGGTTATATTCCAAGGCTGATTTGACCAAGTGCTGGGAGTTCATCCCGATGAACTTCCTTAGTGCCTGACTGGGTCTGAAAGTCTGGTGCAGTGGTGGGGACTGGACTCTGGAAAGGGGTGCCCGAGGCAACCTAGGCTGCAACAGCCATTTCGGGGGTGGGGACAGCTCTATATTGATGCCCCTTAGCGGCAATGGTGTCGTATGCTTTGCATGAATGTGGAGATGCAAGTGTAGGTGAGGTGCGTGTGTGCTTAGTACTCCTTCACTCATACACAGGGATGGAGCTCTGTCCTGGCTTTTTTTTTCTTTTTTGGTTCTGGGATTTGAATTCAGGGCCTACACCCTGAGCCATTCTACCAGCACTTTTTTTGTGATGGGTCTTTTCGAGATAGGGTCTAGTGAACTTTTCTCCCAAACTGGCTTCAAACCGTGATCCTCCTGATCTCTGCCTCCTGAGTAGCTAGGAATTACAGGCGTGAGGCCAGAGAGATTAAGTAGTTTGCCTAAAATCATAAGGCCAGTGAGTAGAGAGTCTAACTCTGGAGTAGAAAATCTTGTTCAAGTGTTAGACTGCCTGCATGTGCTCCTGTTGGAGGCCCTGAATGTTTCTGAATGTTTCTGTTTCACCAAAACCATCCACAGTGACCCCTCATTGTCACTACAGCAATAGTGTTACCTACGCATCAGGGTTCATGCTCGGAACATTCCTTGCATTTATCCTCACTCATTCTTACAGTTAACCCCTGCTGGGCATCTACCACATAGAAGACTCAGGCAGTTAGGACTTGCCCAAAGTTCACAAACTAAGAAGTAGCAAAATTGGAGTTTGAACCCCAAGTCTGCCACGTTGCAAAGCTGACATTCTTGCCAAATCACCAGACTAGTGTTCTGTTTGCTTACTTAAACTTTTTTCTCTTCTTTTCTGATGCTGGGGATTAAACCCAGGGCCTCAAATGTGCTCACACACCTGCTCTCTCACTGAGCTATACTCCTCCAGCTCCTGTTACTTTCAAATAATTCAATGCCTTAAAAAATAGTGTTCCTAATTAAAAAATTAAAATAAAATAGAAAGAACTTACATATGTAAAAAAACAAATAGTGTTCCTAAACTGGACTTTGTGGTAAATACCTGTAACTCCAACACTGAGGCAGGAAGATCATGAGTTCAAGACTAGCCCGGGCTACATAGTGAGACTCTGTTTTAAAACAAAGCAACAAAAATTAGTGTTCCTGGCTGGTGGAGTGGCTCAAGTGGTAGAGCATGTGCTTAGCAAGCGTGAGGCCTGAGTCTAACTCCCAGTACTGCCAAAAAAAAAAAAAAAAAAAAAAAAAAAGTTCCTCAATTTGGGTTTGTCTGTTGTTTCCTTATGACTGGATTCAGGTTCTGTGTTTCTGGCCACAACTCTGCACTGTGCCTGGGCAGGGGTTCACACTTGGAACCACACGGAGACTGTCACACTGTGGCTGTCTTAATTCGTCTGTCAAAACTTCTGACCCCTCTGTTGTATAGCTACTCTTTTTTGCCCCTTGTTGCTAGTAAGAGACACTTAACTCATGCCATTGTACTTTCCCTCACCAAACTCTTGCCCTAGATTTAGCTCCATTGATGACAGTGCAAGGCTGTCTCCATAGGTGGTTCCCCCAGACCCCAGATATATTCTTTCAGGTAAGGCAGTAGATGGTGAGCAGGCAACAGCCAAAACCCAGCCTTCCGATCTCACCCAGGTTCAAGGTCCCTGCTCATGATCCATCATCTCTTGTGTGGGCAGCCAGGCCAACTTGTGATGAGCAAGGCTTGGGGTAGACATGTCCTGTTTCCTGTCTCAGGAACTTCCCTTCCTTACTGAGGCTGCTGCAGACACAGGCTAAGTTGAGGGGAGCACAGTTGTCCAATCACCAGTACCAGGACCCTCCACCCTGGAGGTGGAGGATGGTGACATGTTACCGGCAGCGAGGCTGTGGTGGGCTCAGCAGGAAACTGTGATAAGATGCCCAACAGTTAGAATAGCTGCTTGAGGTTGGGAGGCTGGGCACCCACAGGAAGTGACTTGATGCTGAGCTGAGGCATCTGTGTCCTGCACACATCCTGGGACTGGAACTGCAGTTGGTATGGCTGAGGAGATGTCTGCTGAGTGCCCAGATCCTGGGCCAGGAGGGCTGCAGGGCCAGTCCCCCGGGCCAGGCAGGCATTATGGGGCCTTGGCCTCAGGTCAGTGTCCCCCACCCTCCATGCCTGCCCAGTGGAGCCTGGCCCGCTGGAGAGCATATGTGGTTACCGTGGTTCTCTGCTACATCAACCTCTTGAACTACATGAACTGGTTTGTCATTGCAGGTGAGGAGTGGATGGGTATCCTGGTGGTGACATAGCTCCTCAATATCCTTTCTTCTCATGGAGCACATTTTGGCATTCTCAACCCTGGAGGTGGCTTCCAGCCATGCCCAAATGGCCCCAAACTAAGAGGGGGCACTATGCATATGGGGGCATGGGCACAAGGAAGGTGTGGGTGAGGACAACAGGGAAGACTGGGCTTTGCAGGCAAAGCCTAAAGGTTCTTGGTGGAGCTGTCAGGCAAGGTTACGGATGGAGGGCAGAGCAGCTTGGCCCAGCTCCCAGGTGAGAATGGCTCTTACTGGGGACAGCAGGCTACTGCTTGTAGGGCCCAGGGTGTAACCTGCTCCTGTCTTCTGTCACTCACGCGTTCATTCACTCACTCATCCGTCCATTCATTCAGAGCCAATCTTTTCTTTTCATCACTTGCTGGCTCAAGATGGAGCACTAAGTGCAGGCAGGAGCCTCTGGTGGGCACTGGGGACCCAGGAGGAACCCAGATTTGTGGTTCTTGACTCAAGGATGGCCATCTAATGGGGCACAGGGAGAAGCTCACTAGCAAGGATCCTGTAAGGCAGAAAGATTCGGCCAGGTGAGGAAGGCACAGACTAGGCTGGGGAGCCCAAGAGGGGCACCTACCACCTGCCAGGTGTTCTGGAGGCCAGGATGTTGGTCTGTCAGTTATGAGCTCACACACCAAGGAGCAGTCACAAGATGAATAGGACTCTGGGGGCTGCAGACATCACCTGGCCTGGCTTCTGTCTTTGAGGAGCTCAGAGGGATCCAGAGTACATATCTGAGTCACTGTAATATAGGACGGGGCTGGGGGAGGGGTGTCAGCTGGACAGCCCCAGGCAAGACTGAGGGCTCCTGCAGAGCTTGGATGAGGGGACTTTTGTTTTGGGCCTGGAAGGCCGAGAAGATTGGAAAAGCAGGGATGAAGGGGGATACTGGCATTCAGTAGGGCCAGCAGGAACCAAGGCACATGGATGGGCTGAGAGTGTCTGCTCTGATCAGGAAATAATTCCCCAAAAGGGTTTTTAGGGCAAGATCTCAGGCTTCTCCAGTGCCAACCTGGGAGCTTGGACTTTCTTTCCTGGGCAAAGGAAGCCATGGGAAGAATTTTTAGGTGGGAGAATATAATTGTATTGAAACCTGATGGAGGGAAGTGGGCTGGGGAGGTGAGCTCAGAGACTATTGTGGTGCGTGTTTGGGGGTCCCATCAAAGCTGAGGGAGAGGCAAAGGGGGTAGGCAGCACCATGATGCAGCTTCCTGAATCCTGAGTTTAGGCTGCCTGCTCTCCCTTCACTGGCCCTGGGTGTCCCTGGCTGGGTCATTAGACCCTGAATCCTGTCTGTCCCGGTTCTGTTCCCATTGGAACTTCCTCTCACTGTGATCATGGTGGAGGAAGACTTGGAGGAATGAAAGCATATCGTGCCTGGGACTGTTGGGACAGGAGTTTGGTGCAGCAGTTAAGATTGCCTTGTGGGAAACAGCTCTTTGGGAGGCCAGGGTGGTAGATACTGGTAAAAGTCTTGGTCTTGAGCCACCCACACAGTGCCGCAAAGTCAAGAGGAACCCAGGGGAGACAAAACAAGAGGACTCTTCACTAAAACTGGAAGATGAGTGCAATTATAGAAGTATTTAGCTATTTATTTTGCTTACTTGTATTGTCTGTCTTTTTCTCTCCAATGACTATGCCTTTTTTGTGTCATTGAAAGGGGGAAAAGACATTCAGACATATGCCCGGATGCTGTGGTAATTGGGCTCAAACTAGATGTCCAAATAAAAAACTCACGCCTCTGATTCTTTGACCTTCATTTGCATGTTGGCAGGTGTTGGAGGGGTGGATATGGGGCTTTCTTGGTGTGAATGTGAGTGGTCTGCAGGAGTACATTTGGGGGCTTTTGCTCCCCTTCTGTGATTCTGAGTGACAGGGCAGACTACCTGTGGCTGGGATTTGAGTCCCAGCCCTGCCAGTTCCAGCAGCTGGAGCATGCTTCCCTATCGGGGTAAGAGGAACAGTGACAGTCCCTTCCTCTTAGGATAAAAGTTGCATATGTTGAGCTCAGGGCCTGGCTGTTGGCTGTCCTATGAGTCAAAGGAAGCAACGATGTTCTTTGCTATGGCTGGGACGTGGGCTGTCTCCCACATGTTCCTCTGCTGGATGTGTGGAACCCAGTGTGCAGTGTGGCACCTTTAAGAGATGGAGCTTTGTGGAAGGTAATTCGGTCATGGGGGCTCCACCCTAATGGGTGGATTAATGCTGTCTCACCGTGATTATTCCTGAGAGGATGGGTTGTTATAAATGAGCCTGTGCCTCTCTTCTGCATGGACTACTTTCTGTTCTCGAAGATGCTTCTGCCACACGATGCCATCTGCAACAAGACCTTTACCAGAGTGAAGCAGATGCTGGCACCGTGCTTTTGCACCTCCAGAACTATGAGCTATATAACCTTTTTTTCTTTAAATACCCAAATTCAAGTATTTTCTCATAGCCACACAATACAGACAAGGATTCTTCTCCACAGTAGTGACAGGACCAGAGCCACGTGGTTCCCATGAGCACGTACTGCAGACCCTGGCCTTTCTAAGATACGATCACGAGGCTAAGGGGATTTTAGGGAGCAGAGTCCAGTGTCTGAGAAGCTACCTCTTCTTTCTGTATTAGGCTGAGCACTCACACACCAGCCTGTGGCTTACCAAGATCTTGAGGGGCTTCAGATCTGGAGCCAGTGCAGAGTGGGAGCCTGCCACCCTTAGGGAGGTGGGACTGAGGCCAGCCTAAGTCCCTGAAGCTCTATGTTCATGTGCTCAAGCCTCTAGAAGAACATGCTTGTGTGTACACATGTGCAGGCCAGGGCATGTACACACTCATGTGTGATGTTTGTGCATGAGCAGGGCTGCTGCATTGCACACTGCTGGGACTTTCATTTACACAGTGATCTAACCTGTGGAAAGGGAGCTGCTGGCTACTCTGACTATGATGTGAAGCGGCAGCTGTGCACATGTGTGCCTGCTTGCCAGCGTGTCTTTAGGTATAAGTCTCAGTGTGTATATATGTCTGGGTATACTTGGCTCCTGTGTCTCTGCAAGCATATTTCATTGGGAATGCCTGTTTGTGTGTGCATTCACCTACTTGCATACCTGCAAGTGCATGCTGTGTGTAAGTATGTGTGTACATGTGTTTGAGTGCTATTTCTGTGTATGTTTGATGTGCGCATGTTTTGTCCTTCCTCTGTGTGTGTGTGTGTATGTGTGTGTGTGTAGGTACAAATGTATGGGAGAGAGGAATATAACAGTGGGCCTAGCTCTGTTGGCTCCACTGTGTACTGTTCAGCTGTGCTCTGCCCCAAACTCAGAGGAAGTTGCCTTTGGAAGCTCAGCGGGCTACTTCTCATTTCCTGACTGCTGTCCCTCCACCCCCAGGAGTGCTGCTGGATGTACAGAAGTCTTTTCAGATCAGTGACAGCAATGCTGGCTTGCTTCAGACAGGTGAGGAGTAGCTCCTGGGCCCTGGGGTCACACTAGACACAATGAGCTGTGCCTAGCTGCCATCCTCCTGAGTCCCCTACACAAAAGAGGGGTGGGATCTAGGCTGGATGGACAGTGGTGGTAGGAGGAGAAGAAAGGAGGCTAAGGCCTGGAGTGTCAGGTGCTCTAGGACAAGTTGAGGGAGAGCTTTGGGAAAGTCTCTGAGTGTAGAGTCACCACTATGGCTTTGTCATTCATTCCCTTTATGCTTGTGAGCTCAGCTGAGTATTTCTCAGAGATGCGAGAAATCCTGATGTGTGCTTTTCTAACACAGAATGGAAAATCTGACCAGCAGGTCACAGACAGACAGATTCAGACCCAGGAAGGGCTTCTGGCCACAGAGAGCCTAAGTCCACCTAAGTCCAGCAGCAGGGAGCAGCCATTTGAAGGTGGAGCACTTGGGGCCATGAGGCACAGACTTACTTTCTCTTGCCAGTGCCTGAGTGGTGACACCCACCCACATATTTGCATACATGGTCACAGCGCATGACACCCATGTGTGCACCCCCAGCCTGCAACGCACACACACTGTGATCCCTCTGTGGATCCTTCTTATGAAGGTCCACTATTGCAATGCTGTAGAACATGGTTCTCGAATTAGTTACAGGATCCCCAGAGGGATGCAAAAAGACTCCCCGGGACTGTGTGAGCAGTTTTGAGAGGTCCACTTTCATATCCTCTCTCCTAATGTGGTCTGCCTGACAGCAAGCCTGCTCCAGCCGTGGGGTGCCTTCCTCACTTCCCCCTTTACAATCTCCTATGTACCTCCTGAAGCAGGAATAGATGCCTCATCCTGGACACTCTGCTCTGTGGAATAAAAACTGCAGGGCACAAAGCAGAGGCACTTTGTGGCTTCTGCAGGGAGGCCTGGGCACAAACTAGAAAGAGCATGGACAGAGTGCTCTGGGGATCTTTCTGCGGGCCACAAGCCTGGCAGGAAGCCAAGCCTTATCTAGCAGTCTGCTCCTGCTGTGCATGACTGTCTGCTCTTTATCTACAAATTAGAATTCAGAAATGAGATAGTGGTCTCAGGGATGGGTGACAACACATTGCTTTCCGTTTAAAAAATGAAGCCAACATTTTTCTCACAATCATTCTGATTTGTTGAGTTGGTTTGGCAAAGCTTTACCAGTTGGCTCTACCAATTGGCTCTGGAGTGGATGATTCCCATAAACACAGTAAACTTGATCTGCTGCAACAGGGTTTGGATGAAAATCTGGTTTACAGAAGTACAGATCGGTTCCAGGACTGATGGAGGCAAAATCCAGAAATGCTCAGGTCCCTTTAATAAAATGGCATAGTGTTTGCGTAGAACCTGTGCATATCCTCCTGTATATTTTAAATAACTCTAGATTGCTTATACTATCTAATGCTATATGAATAGTGGTTATATCGTAGTGATGAGAAAAAAGTCTGTCAGTGCAGATGAATTTTTCCCTAGTATTTTCAAACTGTGGTTGGTAGAATCCAAGGTGTGGGTATGACCCACAGATACAGGGGGCCTGTTGTACACAATAATGCCAAAAATCACATTCTTGGCAACTACGTCAACTTACAATAATATTGTTTTAAAGTCAGCTGAAAATGTCTGAAGGAGTAGGTAGCTCTATAAACTTCTGTAAGAGTCATGTGAACCCAGACCAAGTAGCTTTTCCAATTGCCTGTGACTCTTGGGAGATGAGCTGCACTGACTCTCCAGTCATATTTATAGCGAGAGTGAGACCATCTTGCCTCAATACCCACAACTTTCTTGATTTGAAAGATAATGGCAGTTGAGTCAATGGTGACCTTTGCTTGTTCTTACCATAGAGGAGTTACGGTTATTTCTACAAGGACTCAATAAGTGAGGTGTTATGAGGGGAAGCGTGTGCTCGTGCCTATGTGTGTATGTGCAGGTGCATATGTGCCTATGCATTTGTGCATGTGGTGTGTGTTGGGCAGTAGATGGAGGAAAGGGTCATCTTTGCAGAAGCAGCCCAAATAGGTTCATGGTAGGGGCAGTAGGCCTGCAGGCCTAATGACCAGGTTGGTCTCTGGTGGCCTCAGGTGGGTTGTTTCACCTTTCTGGGCCATTGTGCACTGGCCCCAAGACTCAGCCTGCTGTCTGTTCACAGGGCTGCGGAGAAGAAGCTGATGGCTGAGAAAGCTTGGTTAAGCTGTGAGGGTGGGGTAGAGGTAGGTGTGGCTCAGGGGTAGAACACTTGCCTAGCATGAAAAAGGCCCTGGGTTCCATCCCCAGCTCTGGCAGAAACGTTTTCTTTTGGCACATAGCTACACTCAGGAGGCTGAGACAGGAGGATCACAAGTTCAAGGCCAAACTGGTTTACATAACAAGACCCTGTCTCAAAAAAAAGAAGAAAGAAGGAGTAAGGTGGGAAGCGGCAAGACAGTGGTCAGGCTCCCTCCAACTCCCATGAGACAGAGAAAGTACTGGAGGAATTATTAGTTAATTAATAATATTTAAAACCATCAAGAGCTACTTGAGAAGTATTCCTAGCTACTTGGGAAGCTGAGATCTGGAGGATCATGGTTCAAAAGCAGCCCAGGCAAATAATTCATGAGACCTCCATTTCTAAAACAACCAGAACAAATTGAACTGGAGATGTGGCTCAAGCACTAGAGCATCTGCTTTGCAAGCTAGAAGCCCTGAGTTCAAACCCCAGTCCCACCAAAAAAAAAAAAAAAAAAAAGTAATAAAACTAACACTGACTTGTCCCTTACCACACGCCAGGCACCTTTCCAAATATTTTATTAGCTTAATTTTATTTTTTATGATTTGTGGCTGGGATAGTTAGACCTTACTAGACATTTTATGCAACTTTATTTTATTTGTGGTGTTGGGGATCAAACCCAGGGCCTTGTATATTCCAGGCAAGGGTTGTACCACTGAACCACACCCGTCCCCCTACGTGCTTTAACCTTCATGACAATCCCAGGAGGCCGGTATTATTACTATCCCATTTTACTGAAACTGGCTCAGCCATGGAGTCTGGCTCCAGATTCCAACTATTGACTTAATTCCTCCTACCTCATCACAGAAATGAGTAGAACTGGAGATGCAGGAATGAGGTGTTCCTGCCTTCCCATGGAGAAGGTCCTGCAGATGTCCAGGCTTAAGGCATTTTTTACTGGCACTAACATAAAGCCATTCAGATACCATTTTATGTTTTATTTTAGTAGTCCTCTCAATAATCTTATAAAGGAAGTACTAGTACTGTTGCAGAGTTGATGAAATGGGAATAGGGAGAGTGAGAGTCAATAGGCAAAAAGTGATGGGCCAGGATTTGAACCCAAATGATTTCCTTTAGAGCTTTTCTTTTTCTTTTTCTTTCTTTCTTTTTTTTTTTTTTAACATGGAGTCTACCTATGTTGCCCAGGCTGATCTGGAAGTTCTGAACTCAAGCAATCCTCAGCCTCCTGAGTAGCTAGGACTATAGGAATGGTCATCACACCCAGCTTAGAGCTTTAAAAATCCTTAAAACCTAATATAAAAGACTGGAAACTTGGGCTGATGTCGTGGATCAAGAACCCCGCAGTTCAAACCCCAGTACTGTCCAAACAAACAAACAATAAAAGACTGGGAAAGTATTATAGGCAAACAGCCCAATAGAAAAGTGAGCAAAGGATGTCGAATAAGAACTGTTGCTTAACTTCACAGGGAATAGGACCATGCAGACTAAAACAGCAGAGAGAAACTGTTTGTTTTTCACTAGATGAACAAAAATAAAGTGATTGGTCATATGGAGTGTCCATGAGGGTGCTGGCGCGCACTTCGGCAAGGGTAAATTCAGCCTTTTTGGAGCCCTATTTTGGCAGCAGCTATTAAAATTTTCAATGCCATTGACACCAAAGATCTCTCTCTATGGAGCATTAGGTTGAACTGTATTAAATTGCTGGTTTTGTAGGTCAAAACTGGCCTAATTTCCACAATTACATATGGCTTAACCCAGTACTAGAGCAGGTCAGGGAGAGTGGGAGGGCTGGAATGTGAGCTGGGAAGAACCTGGCCATTCATTGGGCTCAGGAAATGTCAATCATCTGCCCTCAGGGACTGCCGTTCCAGGTGCTGGGGACTAGGTGGAGGAGGGTCTGGACCTACTTTTGTCCACCTGCCAGCTCTCCCAGCTTTGAGGCAGGGACTCACCATCCTCCAAGAATGGAAGTGATTTTATTTAAGACACGGAGGTAGTGTGTGCACTGGGCACTTACCCATGTGGAATATAGCCAGGCAAACCATGGCTATTCCTCACAGAATAGCTAGTATTAGTAAGGGCTTACTTTAAAAGGGATATAGATACAACCTTTCAAGGAAAACCAACTCTTCCCCAGCCTCCTGGAATCATCCCTGGTCATGGTCAATGTGCTCATCTTTTTTTTTTTTTTTGGTGGGGTCTGAACTCAGGACTTTTACCTCTAGCCCATTTTGCTCTGGTGATTTTGGAGATGAAGTCTCAGCCTCCCAAGTAGCTAGGATTACAGGCGTGAGCCACTGGAAGCCAGCAGTGTGCTCATTCTAAGCTATCCTTGGCTGCTGGTCGAAGCAGGCCCCAGGCTGACTTTTCTGTTGCCAGCAGCAGGTGTGTCAGTGACAAATCAGGTCAGGCCCACTCCCTAGGCTCACAGAGGTCATGTGTTGTGGTAAGGCTAGGAAACTGTCATCCACTCCATGCCGGAGCTCCACATTCATGTCTCATTTCCCTTTGCACAGCCTGGGAAGGTGTTGTCTTCTCCAGTGCTGGGGTGATGCTCAGGGAGGCTTCACGGTGAGCAAGTGGCAGAGCTGTGGTTGACCCAGGCCCGGTGCTGCACACTCTGGGCTAGAGGCTGTGTATTGTATTAGGGCTGAGCAAGCCCCCCTTGTCGTTTTCTCTTCATGCCTTGGACCCACTGCCAAGATGCCAGCTTGCAGCATCTGAGCAGGGCCCCTTCCCAGGCCAGCGGGGCTGTCTGCCCACCCATGTCGTGGGGGGATCCAGGCTGCCCCTTATGTGTCTCCTTCAGTTTTCATCGGCTGCCTGCTGGTGTCTGCACCTGTGTTTGGCTACCTGGGTGACCGCTATAGCCGCAAGGCCACACTGAGCTTTGGGATCCTACTCTGGTCAGGGGCTGGCCTCTCTAGCTCCTTCATCACCCTTCAGGTATGTGTTCATACTCCTCAGCCCCTGGGGGGCCTCTCCCTCTACTTCCTCCCTGTTCCCCTCCTCAGAGCCAGGTGGAGATAGTTCTACTGCCTTCCTGCCCGGGCTGGCTCTGGGATCAGGCTGCCAGGGGTTGGGAGGAAGTGGGGCAAAACCTCCAGGCCTGAAGGGCAAAGCAAACAGGAGGCTCTGTCTTGTACCTCCCACTGCCCCATCTACCTGGTCTTTCTTCCCCGATTCTGCTGAGGGTGGGGTGGGTATGACACTACTGCCTGGGGAACTGGCCTGGTTAGCAGAGACCCAGGGGGAGGGCTCTCCTGGGTGTGGGGCAGGTGGTGACTGAAGGTACCGGCAGGGGTACTCATGTGGGGGGAAGAAGAGGGGTATCTGCAGCCCTGGTTCCTACTCCCTCTCCTAGTGGTTTTGTCATGAGATCCCTTTGGAGCCTTGCCCCATGGGCAATGTTTAGAACTCACTGTAGTCTTGTGCCTGGCTTGCCCAGTATTCTTGGCTCTTCTTCCTGGCCCGGGGAGCTGTGGGTATTGGCACAGCCAGCTATTCCACCATTGCTCCCACTCTCCTGGGCGACCTCTTCGTGCAGGACCAGCGAACCCGAGTGCTGGCCATCTTCTACATCTTCATCCCTGTTGGAAGGTTGGTATTACCCCTAGGTCCACTTCCCTAGGTGGTAAACTGAGGCCCAAAAGAGTCAGACTAGGGGCAAGGCTGGGAATAGGAGAGGTCAGATCACAGCGCTACCCCTTCTTCCCGTCACTTTACCTCTCTGAGCCTCCATTGAGGGGGCTGTGGTGAGGAGTAAAGATTGCAGAAATGCTCCCTGCAGGTTAGTGCACTCCTCTGAGGAGTGAGAAAAAGCAATGGTCTGCTCAGGAAAGGGCAGCCTGGGAGGTGAGGCTGGGAGGAAGTGTGTCAGGGTCACACCCTGTGCTTCCAGCGAGGAGGACAGGGTGAGATTTGCAGTCAGGCCTCTGAGCTCTGACCTGGTTTCCTGAACTTGCTTGACTCAACAGGACAGGGCCTTGGGCAAGAAGGCTGGGGCTGGGGGCATGTGTGTCCTAATATACGGAGAGTGGCACTGGTGCTGGGCTAGAGGCCAGAGGTCACTAGTGACTTGACCAAGGGCAGCAGACACCTGGGCCTCACATGGGCCACTTTTCCCAAGGAGAGGGCTCTGAGCCTGCAGAGAGTTCACTTCTTGGGTCAGGGGCAACCTGGTTTGGGATGGCTTTGGCCCTGACTTTCACCCCTAATGGCCCATCTCCCTTTCCCTTTGTTGCAGTGGTCTGGGCTATGTGCTGGGGTCAGCTGTGGCAAAGCTGACTGGGAACTGGCGTTGGGCCCTCCGAGTGAGTCCAGCTTGCTTTTCTCCCCTCTGCTTTCCCCCGGGCTGGCAGGGACTTTCCAGCCTCTGGTGGCCTTGGCCACTTGGCAGAGTACCCGGCGCCATGGAGGGGCGTCAGTTGTTGGCCGCTTTGGACATTTGGGGCCTCATGTGGAACATAGGCTTATGGGTTCATGACCTTGAGTTCAAATCCCAGCTGCTCATTTTACTACTAGCTGTGCAACCTCAAGCAAGTTGCCTCTCTCTTTGTAGCCTGTGCCCATCTGTAGATGAAATGCTACCTCTGGAATCATGAGGACTGCTGGACAAGGACTGGAAAGTTCCTAGTCCCATTAGCAGGCCCTGATGACAGGCAGTTAGGGCTACTCAGTTAGTGGAGCCAGGACCTGGGAACATACCAGTGGGTCCTGCAGGGATGAGGCTACCACCCGCTCAGCATCAGATAGGGATGTGCAGTACTCAGAAGAAGGAGCTTGGTGGCAGAGGGCTGGGACTCTGTCCTGTGTATGGATCTTTGCTGAGTTGGCACGTGAGGCCATGGAAGGAGAATGGCATCTTAGGCTGGGGGAGCTTGAAGGAGGCTGGTCTGACTTGCTTTGAATTGAACCTTCTCAAGGTCTGAGCTGTTTGAAACTCCCCCAAGGTGGGCAGTGAAACACCTGTCTTTGGAGTATGGGCAGCAGGTTCTCCAGGAGAGGATATCAGGCCAGGAAAAGGGCTGGTTCTTGAGGCAGAAGTACTCAGCAGCTTCCCATTCCCAGCCATCTTGGGCCTACGGATCCCACAGAGGCGCATCTATGCTGAATAGAGGGGCATTCATTAGGTCCAAGGGGACTCTACTCCCTAGAGAGGCTATGCCCTTCCTCAAGAGTGAAAAACAGATATGTCCAGCTCTCTGTATAACCAGTACCAAGTTCAAACACTGTGACTTGTCACTGCTAGGTCTCTAGAGCCACAGTAGCGTGCAACTCCGAGCTTCCTGGGCCCTCTTGTCCCTAGATCATGCCCTGCCTGGAAGCTGTGGCCTTGATCCTGCTCATCCTGCTGGTTCCAGACCCACCCAGAGGAGCTGCTGAGAAGCAGGAGGAGATAGCAGTGGGGAACCCGAGGAGCAGCTGGTGTGAGGATGTCAGATACCTGGGGAGAAAGTGAGTGTCTCTGCTCCCTGTTACCAGCCACAGAGAACCCCAACTGCTTCCAGGGAGTCCTCTCTGCATGTCTCAATGTTTACCACCCTCTTCTTCTTCTGAGCGCCACTTACCTACCCCTCTATCACTTCAGGCTTAGCCCCCCATAGCCTTTTAATGTGACACAAGTGTGGGCTGGGAGGGAGAGCAGGTGGCATGAGTTCCACCCTGAGACTCGGAGCCCCACTTTCTTATTTGCTTAATGGAGTATTTCTGCAGCCTTGCCCACTTCTCTGGGCTGCTTGGAGGATGCCGGGAGCTTGTTGTTTACCTCTCCAAGTCACATAGTGGAGACAGAAAGAACCAATCACAGTCCCAGGACTCATGATCCCCTGCAGCATAGGGCAAAACAGGACTCAGCTCTCTATGTTCCAGAGAGCCATGAGACCCAGTGAGGGGACTCCCAGGGAGATGGAGGCAGGCAGGGACAGCTTCCTGCAGACTGCAGTGTTGGACTGGGGCCTCAGGATAGGAAGACATGGCCCTGTGGATGAGGGAGGCAGGCACGATGTGCGCCAGGGGGATGGAGGTGGGCTGTGGAGGGTCTCAGGAGCATTGGGGACACTGGAACCTATGTGAGGGAGTGGGAGTGGACAGGCCCCTGCAGCCCCAGCCCTCTTCTCTTGCAGCTGGAGTTTTGTGTGGTCGACACTTGGAGTGACAGCTATGGCTTTTGTGACTGGAGCCCTGGGCTTCTGGGCACCCAAGTTTCTGTTCGAGGCCCGTGTGGTGCATGGGCTGCAACTTCCCTGCTTCCAGGAGCCATGTAGCAGTGAGGACAGGTGAGGAAGGAGGGTGAGGGGCATTGGCCCAGCCCAGGGGCTCTGGCTGGGGAAGATCTCAGGAGGCCATGGGCACCTGACTCAGTGTTCCTGGGTACATGGTGCTCTCTGAAGAGGCTCTGGTCACATTCTTAGTACAATTGCATCTGTGAAGTGTGCTCCCTAAGGAGGTTCCAGAGACGAAAACACCTTGGGAGGTCGGTCATTATTCAGTTACCAGAGTGGCAGAGGTTCCTGTGTTGGGTCTCTGCACAGACCTGAGATGCTAATACACCCTCCTGGATTAGGACAGGCCCTAGGTGTGCACAGGGCAGGGGTGGAAGCTGTAGGCCAGGATTCTTAGGATCCTGGTGCAACCACAAGGAGGATTCCAGTGCTGGAACTGAAGGGCGCAGCTGGAGGCGCTGCATGGCGGGTAGTGAGCACCAGCCTTGGAGGTGCAAGTGTACAGCCTGGACAGCTGCTTCCCAGGGTTGTTGTGTAGGAGATGGCGTAGAAGCCTCAGGCCCTTAAGGGCCCTCTTGGCTCTGAGAGCCAGTGATCCTGGAAGGCCTTGCATGGGGAGAGGGGGAGCTCAGAGGGCTTGTTGCTGGGTGTGTCCTCTGCTTGCACCAGGGCCAGTGGGGACCTCCCTCCCCCAACTGCCTGTTGCCTGTTTGAATAGTCAATCCAAAGTCTCACAAAGGTTTTAGAACCTGCCACAGCCAGCTCATTCCAGGACTTAGAGGCGATAACGCTTATCCGGGATCTGAGGTCATTTGACTTGGCTCTGCCAAGCCTTGCTCAACTTGGAAGCTTAGGGAGGTCTGGTGAGGACCTTTTGCTGCAAAGAGCACACATGTGCCTGGCCACCAGGAGTCTCAGCCCTCCAGAGACTGTGTGACCTCAGGCAAGTTTCCACCCTCTCTGGGCTCCACATGCCCTCCTGTACACTGAAGGGATTGCAGTGTGTGTGTGTGTATGCACGTGTTCACATGCACATGATCCGGTCCTCTGCCCATGGGATGAACTTTTCACAGAGGATGAAGGGCAGGTGGTTTCATGGCCTGCAGTTGGTAGTGCCAGTCTTGCACAATCACACTCTTACATCCTTGTGGGAGGTGTGGAGTAATAGCAAGGCCCATAATTCTGGAATTGTTTGGGTCTAGGAGGAGATGGGATCAGGGGGAGGAGGGTGTGGGGACAGTGGGCTTCAAGCCAAGGGAACAGCATGGGTCAAGGGGAAAGCCTGAAAGCACAGGGCAAAGAGAGTTCAGGATGGAGGGAGATGAGAGGGAAGCCACACAGCTGGCCGGGGCTGGTCCTTCAGGGACACTGTGCTGGCTGAGGGCTTGCACAGAGGACAACAGGCAGGTCCTCTGAGGTCTGGGAAGATCTTGGTTAGATTTGGGTGCCCAAGAGTTCATGCTGGTCACTGTCCAAGCTGTGCCTTTGAAGTCCTTTAAAAGGGGCTTGAATGGAGCAAGAAGGTGACAATGTGTACCACTTACCAGCTGAGTGAGCTTGGCCTTAACATTTCTCAGCTCTGCTTTCCTCTTTTCCCCAGAAATTTCCAGAATTCTGGAAGGGAATCCATGAGTTCACTTGCTCAACATGTATTTCTTGATTCTGGGCTCTGTGCTTCCAGGATAGAGTCAAGAAAGCAAAACAAACCTGGGCACTGTTCTCTAGGAGTTCACAGGGGAGAGAATGATGTTGATGATAGAGACATAAATAGTGTTATGAGATCTGATGGAAGTGAAGGGATCAGTAAGGAAACAGAGGAAGGCATTTCTGAGGAGTGGGCATTTGTGATGGGTCTTGAGGAATAAGTAGGAATTTGGTAGGTGAAAAAAAAACAAAACCTAGTACAGGGTGTTCCAGATGAAGGAATGAAAATATGAGGTGAGGACTGGGGTGCTGGATTAAGAGGAGAATAGAGATGGGCATGGGGTTGAAGGTGAGCCAGAGTCAGATCACGAAGATGGATGGAGTTGGGACAAATCCTGGTGGGTGTATGATCGGTAGTGGAGAATGTGTGGCAGAGTTTCAGAAAGCACTCTCGGGGGCCTGTACAATGTTATCATGGATGGGCATTTCTCCAGAGGAGAGACACACAAGGGGGAGCCAGACACTCCCAGATCAACTGGATCTGGGAGTAGATGGGTAGCAGGAGGTTGCCTGACAGGTGTTCAGACAGGGGGTGGAGGATGGGATTGGAGGACTAGTGTGTGCCAAGGCTGGACAGGGCTGGGTTTGTCATAGGAGCGCAATATGCTTCATTCCTCTCAGTATTGGAAGTGACAGGAAGAGAAGGTTGAAGCCAGAGAGGGGCCCGAGAATGAAGATTCCCAGGAGGGCCATTTTGGGTGGTGAGAGGGTGAAGAAGGTAACTGGAGGTGAGGTAGGCTGGGACCTGGGGTTCTGAAGTACTGGGCAGATCACCCACATGAACAGTGGTTCCCCAGGGTGAGGCAGGAAGGGCATGGAGGAGAGCGGGGGGAGTCCATGGGTCTCTGACCAGGGTCCTGAGGCCCCAGGACCACTGTTAGGAGGAAGGGAGGGGCAGGTCTGGTCAGGGGCCCACAGCCATAGTTCCCTGGAGGTACTAGATCATACCCCTGGCCAGGTAGCTAGGCTGGGGAGTCGGGGGGGTAGGGCCAGGATGCAGCACTGACCCAGCCTTCTCTTCTCTGCTCATTCCATCAGCCTGATTTTTGGGGCACTGACCATTGTGACTGGCATCATTGGTGTCATCCTGGGGGCTGAAGCTGCAAGGAGGTACAAGAAAGTGAATCCTAGGGCTGAACCCCTCATCTGTGCCTTCAGCCTGCTTGCCACAGCCCCCTGCCTCTACCTGGCACTCATCTTGGCTCCAACCGCCCTCCTGGCCTCCTATGTAAGTGAGGGCTCCTCCAGAGGGGGTGGGAGCCTCAGTGGCTATGGCTCAGTCCTACTGTATCAGTTCTCAGCTCTTGTTAGTTAGGCTCCCCAAGTGCTGCATGGCTAGGATGGGGTGGATGTGGAACTGAAGCCTCTCTGACTTTGGAGTGAGTCCTTTGAGTTCCTGGTGGGTGCTTTGATTTGAAAGCATGTGAGCCCAGGGGGCAGAGAAGATTCTCTGCAGGATACAGATGAGGAAATCGAGGCCAGGTGGTCCTAGCCACAGCAGACCCTGCTAAGATGGCTGTAATTGTGGTAAAAGCAGGTTTTCCAAATCTGCACTCTGCATCCCAGGGACGAGGGCACTACTCCCAGCTCCCAGCCTCATCTTGAATCTGTTCCTTGTCCATGCACCCTCAACCCCTTCTCTTTCTGCAAACCCACCTCAAAGGCCATTTCTTCCAAAAGCCTTCCCAGTCCTCTGTCCCATGGTAGAATTTACTGTTCCTGCTTAGGCTTGGCCTGTGTTTGGGCCCATTCGGCACCATGGTATATGCAGCTGTGTCCTCAGACAGGGAGCCCCAAGGCAGAGATGGGCTCCTGACAATCTCTGTGTGCAGAAGTGCTTGATCCCTGCAGCCCCAGCCCTGCCTGTCCCCTAATGGGACTGGGCCATTGCTTCTGTGAAGATGGCACCAGCCCAGCCTAATCAGTCCCCAGTCCCATGGCTCCAGGTACTGTTGCTGTGCCTAGGGGTCCCCACCTCTGTGGTCACCATGCCGTTGCATATGCATGCAGGTTCACTCGCAGGCTGGACTTGGACAGTAAATGATAAGTACTTTCTTCTCCCACCAGCTCAGGGGTTGCACAGAGGAGGACCTTTGTGGGCACTCAGGAACCCCAACATTTAGCAACCAGGGAGAAAGGCTGATTTCCCTTTTGGCAGCACCAGCAGCACCATCTTCTCTGGGGCTGGGGTTACTCAGCTGAAGAAAGAGATTTGTTTGTTTGTTTGTGTTGGTGCAGTGCAGAGAATTGAACTCAGGGCCTTATACTTGCTAGGCAAACTCTCTGCCACTTGACCCATGTCTCTTTCTCTTTTGTTTTTGCAACAAGTTCTTACTGTATAGCCCAAGATGGTCTTGAATTTGGGATTCTCCTGTCCCAATGCTGGGATTACAGTTGTGCACCACACCCAACTAGGGCATCTTTCAATAAATGCCCAGCCTGACTTGGAGCCTCCCTCTGTGTAAGCTGATGGGCTGCACGGGATGCTTCTTTTTCTGGAATGTATCTTAAGGTGTGGGTGAAGCTCACCTGTTGTACCAGCCTTGGGTTTCAGCTGACTTTCCTGGAGACTGGAAGAGGCTGTCACCAGTTCCTTCTGTAGGTGCTCTTATTTAGTCTGCTTGACACTGTGATGAGAAGTTTTTTCTCATCCCACTTGACAGATTGGAAAACTGAGGCCTACAGAAAGCAACAGACAAATGTTGGGACAGACAAAACTCCAACTCAGCCCGAAAGACACCAAGTCTGTGTCCCTATCTCTCCCATGGGAGAGAAGCAGAGTGTGGGCCCCACTGGGCTGCAGCAAATGTCTCCTGCTGACTGACTGGATGGGGTGGGGGAAATGGACCATTCCTTCTGGCTGGTGGGAACTGGTGGGGACCACTGGGGCCTGACCTCCAGGGAGACTGAAGCCCAGGCAGGTGGAGACCCTGTCAAAGTCCTGTCCCTGCATTAGCCAGCTGGGACTAGAGACCCCCTGCCAGCTCTGCTTCTGTCAGTCTTGTTTGGCTCTGGGAGGCTGCTCCTTGGCTGTGTTTTAGAGACATAGCTATCCCCCACTCTGCAGACTGGCTCATCTCCAGAGCTGGATGGATCATCTAGAAGTGACATTGCGTCTTAGCCAAAAAAGCCAGTTGGAGAAAATCTTCTCCTGGCCTGTCTGGGGGGCGGGGGGGCTGAAGGGTGGGAAGGTAGGCAGGGCCCGGAGGTGCCCATTCTCTGCTATAGAAGCTGCTTAGCCTGAAGGATACCCACTGGTGTATCCTTGATCTAATGGTCAGAATTTCAGCTTCCCCCACTCCCCCTAGTCTGTGCCTCTGAGGTCTACCTGACTTTCTGACGTGGCTCCTTCCCAGCAGCCATCATTTACAAAGTCCTTACCCTCTCCAGTTCTGCCCCTTCTTCCCACCTGTCCCTCTGCACTGCCTGGCTCCTGCCTTGCCAGCTTTCTCTAGGACAGTCCTGGAACTTTCCTCGCCTTCCTGCTCACCCAACATGGTATGCCCTTCTCACACGGCCAAGGTGAGCTTTCTGACACCATGGACTCTCCCTGCTCAAAAGCCTTGCATGGCTCCATGGTGCCTCTGGAACTAGGTCCAACTCTGCATCCTGGCTTTCAAAGCCCTCATGAATTGCTGTGACAACCTCACTGGCCTTTCCCCCTCTGTAGTTCTGTCATGTAGGGCCCTTCCTGATTCCCAGGATGTCCCCCATGTTTGCCCTTCCCTCTGTCCCCCATCTTCCCCCTTCTCCATACACCAAGTCATTCTGGGTCTTCAAGGGCCAGCTTAGCACCATCTCCTCATGGGATCTTCCCTGACTGCTGACCTGACCCTTTGTCTCCATCCTAGCTTTCTTCGCACTGTCATCCCTGTGTTGCAGTTATTTAGCTGTGACTCTCCCCACTCCCACAGCTTCCCCGCTGAGGGTTCTAGAAGGGCTCAGGTCTGGTTCTAGTCCTTTCTCAGAACTTCAGCCTGAAGCACAGTGTCAGGCACATGGGTGGGGTGCGGATACATCTTGGCTTTTTGAATGAAGAGTTTAGTAACAAGCTGCTTGTATTTATTCAACAGATATTCATTGAGTGTGATAAGTTCTAGTTTATATAGCAGTGTAGAAAACAGACCAAAATATCTTTGCCTTTGGGGGACTTAAATTCTCATTGGGAGACAGAGACAACAAGAAAGACACTTAAGTAAAAAGCTTAGTGTGTGGTACATTCCTGTAATCCCAGCACAAGGGAAGTTGATGCAAGGAGATCGTGAATTGGAGGCCAGCCTGGGCTACTTATGAAATCCTATGTCAAAATAAGCAAACAAATAAAAAAAACAGATACATAGGTAAAATTCACAGTATTTCAGATGGTAAAGAAAATTAGAGTGTGGAAGGGAAGTACAGAGAATGCAAGTGTTGTGGGGAGAGAGCCGTAATTTTATGTAGGGTGAACAGAGGGTTCACTGAGAAGGTGATTATTTATTATTATTATCTTTTGTGGTTCTGGGATTGAAACCAGGTTCTGTAGCATTCTACTACAGAGCCACAACCCCATTCCTGGAAGGCAATTACTGAGTGAAGAGTTATAGAAAGTGAAAGAGTGAATTATGTGGATATTTGGGGGGACAATGTTCTAGGAAGAGGGATCAGTGAGTGTAAAGGATCAGGAGTACATCCGGTGGGTTTGAGGAATGGCAAGGAGACCACTGTGATTAGTATGGGGAAGGAAGGGGAAGTGGGACGTAAGCACAGAGAGGATGAGGGGGACCAGAGCATATCAGGCCTGTGGACACAGGGTAGAGTTGCTTTCACTGGGAGTGGGGTGGGATTCTGTGCTAAGAAGCTGGAGGTCTGACTTTGTCTTTTGTCTCTGTTGAGATGGTTGTGTGGTTTTGTCTTTTCATCTAATACTGTAGTGTATTACATTAATATTTATTCGCTTAACCAACTTTGCATTCCTGGGCTATGTTCTTCCCTGGTCATGGGGTATAATCATTTTTACATATTGCTGAATTTGACTTTGTAGTATTTTGTTGAGGATTTTTGCATCTATATTCATACTGAATCATATTGAACATTTTAGGGAATATGTATATTTGCATTTATATTCTTGTGATATCTTCGTTTGGTTTTGATATTAGAGTAATGGCCTCAGAATGAGATGGCAAGTGTTCTTTCCTTTTCTGTTTTTTGGAAGAGTTTATGAAGGATTTGTGTTAATTATTCATCTTTAGACATTTGGTAGAATTCACAGTAACGCCATCTGGTTCTGGGCCTTTGTTTGGAAGAAGTTGTTTGATATGAACTCAATATTTACTTGTTATAGGTCAATTCAGATTTCTCTATTACTTCTTGAGTCAATTTCAGTAGTTTGCATTTTTCTAGGAATTTGTACATTTAATCTAGGCTAATCTAATTTCTTGTCATACAGTTGCTCACGATATTTCTCTATCATCCGAGTCCCACTGTGTAGCCCAGGATGGCTTCAAACTTGGATCCTCCTGCCTCAGTCTCCTGAGTGCTGGGATTATAGGTGTGCACCACCAAATCTGGTTTTAATTTTGCTGATCTTTTCAAAGAACCAACTTTTTGTTTTAATGATTTTCTCTTGTTTTTCTATTACCAAATTTATGTTTATAGAATCACTGTGGCTACTCTGTTGAGAAGACTGGGGTGGTAGCAAGAACAGAAGCAAAGAGGAGTCAGGAGGCTGTTGCTGTAACACAGATGAGAGCTGAAGGTGCTTGGACCAGAGTGTCAGCAGTGGTAGTGGTGAGAAGTGGTTGGGTTACAGATGTATTTGGAAGGTAGTGTGTCAGAATTTCCTAATAGCTTTGATGTGGAATATCAGAGAAAAAAAAGTCCTAGTCGAGTCCTGGGATACTGGCCTGAGGTGCTGGAGTAGGGAAAGGCTGAAGTAGGGAAGTGAGCTGGAACAACAGCTTTAGGGGAAGGCCAACAGCTTGCCTTTGTGCCCGCAGTTTGTGTGGGAGGCTGTCATCCAAGTGGAGGTGTTGGTAGAGAGTTATGCAGGAGTCTGAGATCCAGGGGACATGGCCTCCCACCTAAAACTTCAGTGGGTGGTCTGGCTGCAGATCACCACAATGATGTCATTAGGGTTAGAAAGGGCTTCAAAAGGGACTGAGGAATTGGCTTTGTCAACCTTTGAAATAGGAAGAGTTACATTAGACTCTTCTACTCAGCCATCATCCATCCATCTAACCATCCATCCCA